ATCCCCTCTGTTCCCCATTCCCACCTGTCCCAATCCCCTCTGTTCCCCATTCCCACCTGTCCCAATCCCCTCTGTTCCCCATTCCCACCTGTCCCGATCTCCCCTCAGCCGCCTCCGGTGTCGCCCCGGCAACCGCGGCCTCTCCCCCGCGCCGCACCGCCTCCCGCGCACGTGACCGTTCTCAGCCAATCGCCGCCCGGGGCCGCGCGTCACGTGGCGGGAGCGTGTCCGGCTGTGGGGCGGACAGCGCCCCCTGTCGGGCGGCGGGCGGAGCTGTAGAGCCCCGCGTCGGGTCCGAGCCCTCAGGCGGCTCCGGGAGGGTTTGGGGTCAGTTCAGGTGTTTAAATGACGAACTGCCTTCACAAAGGCTCTTGGGCCGGCCAAAAGCCTTCTCACTCGGAAGTTTCGTTTGAAGCGTCCCCGATTGTTTGAAAGAGATGTCGGGGAGCGAGGGCGGAGCTTTGCTGGGACCGAACCCGGCGGGAAGAGGCGGAGCCCCAGCCCTGACACGGCCGGGAYGAGCCACGCCAGGAACACACGTGTCCGACAAATCCTTACCTGATAAAAGCCTCACGGGAGGATTGGCCAAGCCGCTTATCCAGTCTTCATCCCTTTTTCAATTAACAGTGCTAATAAGAGCTGTGTGGGATGTGAGCTTTGCTTGATGGTATTTTTTTTGTTCTTTTTCTCCTCACATTCTTGCAGAATTTCTCCTCCAGTGAGCAGGCAAGGCTACTGTGCCTTGTGTCATGCTCCTGGGATGCTTGGGGAGGGACAATTTTTCAGGGACGTGCTGCCCAAGGAGGGAGCATCCACCTATTGGCCATCACCTGGTCTAAGGTCAGGAAGATGCAAAGTTTGTGCCTCAAACCTGAAAAGCAGAACTCCACTGTCGGTGTATCTAAGGGAGGACATTCACCATCACCGGGGACATCACCCCAGCTCCACAGTTTAGGTTTCCTTGGGGCAGATGTCACCGCCATCACTGCCAGGGGCTGAGCATTCCTGGGCTGGGCCACTGGCTCTGCCAGCTGCAGATCCCAGACTGGATCATAACCTGCTGCGTAATTTGAAAAGAGAAGGCTTTTCTCTGTATCCAACTGGAATATTTTGCAGGAAATTTCTTGCAGTAGCCTTTCCAAGTGGTTGCATGAAAAACAAGCAAGCAGGGAAGAGAGGAACATTTTTCAGAGCTTAAACATCCTGTTATTTTCTATGTCAAGCTTCAGCTCTTAGTTGCCAAAATAGGTTTTGGTTTGGATTTTCAATAAATACTTTGAAGAAGCTTTTGGGCRATAAATAAATAAGTTATTTGAGATTTTAGGTGATGACACGTTATTGTTGGTTAGGTTGGAGCACAGACTGGCTCCTACTGGGACTGGCCAGGGGACAGAGGAGTTTGCTTGGGCCAGTGTCCTGTGCTGAGGCAGCTGAGATGCTGCTGACATACTGAATTACACAGCAATGCTTCCCCAGGGCCCTCTGCACGGAAAACCAAGGCAATGGAATTGCAAAACCTCTCTGCTCTSCCCAGCATCAGGCTGCCAAAAAGCTGCTTTGTCTGCCTAGGATGGGGCTTGTTTGGCTGCTTGTTTGCCTCAGGTTTCAGCTCGTCTGCCTCTCCCCAGGAGATTCAATGAGCCTGTGCCAGGCTATTTATATCCCCCCACTTCAGTAATTTCCTGTCAAAGACCTGACCAGGAGAGGCACAGCAGGACTTTGATTTTGTGCCTTGGGATTCATAAAGGAGGTGCAGGGTGAACTCAGCTCTCCTTGAGATCCAGAAACCTCTTGGCCTGCTCAGTGCTGAGCAGGGAAGGAGAAGGGACTGGTGGGTCCCAAAAAAACTCCTTTCAGCTCCACTGCAAAACAGTGAGGCAATCTCCCAGGCACTTGCAGTCCAGTGCTGAAGGAACCAGAGCATTCTTGTCCCTGCAKGACTTTGCAGATGAGGACAGAAGCATTCAGGGCTCAGCCAATTCCCCTACCATGTCAGCTGCCCCATGTGTCTCAAGTGCCTCCCTGGAAAGGAGATGCTGCTTTCTCCAACCTCTGCAAAACCTTCTTGCTGCTGCCACCACCCTGGTGCAGAACAAGGGAGTCCTCCAGCACTTCCTCTGTTCCTTCATCCCAACAAAACAGCTCATGGTGCCTTTCCAAAAGAGATCACCCTTCAGAGATTCCCTACAAGAAAGAGCTGACATCTAGGGGAGAGATGGACTGTTTTTTTTTGAGGCTGAGGGTGCCTCTGTGTGGATTGACATCAGCTCAGTGCCCTGGGCCCAAAAGGGGCCCCAGCTGGACTTTCTGGCATGTGCTCACCTGACGCATGGATCATTAAACTCCCAACCAAGGCAAATACCCATGTGTGAGAGGGCTGGTTTGCATAACAGCAAAGAATTCCAGCCAGAAATGGCAGAGGGATGAGAGAAAGGAAGAGCTAGAGATGCTCCATTTAAAAAAAAAAAAAAGAATACTGAGAAAAGAGTCTGGGAACTGGGTGCATGGAAACAACAGGATAGAGAGATTCATCCTCAGGAGAAATAGCAAGACTTACTGCCCTCATCACACCAGCACAGCTTTGTTGCTGCCACCAACACAGGCCAATGGCCACCTACCCAACCACTCGGGACAAATTGCAAAACCTCCAGGCCTTCAAGAGGAGCAAGCAGTAGGTTTCATCTGCGAAGGAGCCCATAAACTCTGCTGTCCAATGCAGATGTTTCCAGCAAATTATTTTCAGCTACTTCTTGTCCATCTCTGAACCCCAGATTTTATGCTTAAGCTAAAAATAAAAAGATGATGTGAAGTTAAAGTAAACAGAGAATTTGCCCAGCCCTGCAGGAGCTATCTCAGTTCCTCCTCTGGGAGGGCATGGTGGGGAAACAAAAAGTTAATCCATCTTGGTTCTCATTGACATGGAATGGAAAACAATGAAATGGGAGAACCACCCTAAAACTGAGAACAAAGGCACTGCACCAATATTTCAGGTCCTTTTTCCTTCACTCTGAAGGGGAAAAATTTGCTCCATGCTTCATCCCTTGCAGGTTATCTTGGGAGGAACAATGTCCCCATAATTCCTGCYGACAATTAACCTTGCCTGTGCAGCCATTCTTCCCCGGGTCACCAGAGCAGCTATTTATACCCTTGGCCAGGGATGCTGTTGCCACCAAACCCCTGTCCTTMCCCTTAGCCAAGGCAGTGGGCAGCAAGCCCAAGGGTGTCCCCCAAGCACMCTGCCCTGCTCCCCAGGACCTGCCTCACCTGGACCCTTACAGTGCAGACCCTCCAGTGCCCATTTTCTGSTCATGCTCTGCAAACACAAAAATACACATTGTTTAACCAAAYCCTGTCAGGCAGCAGGGTCCATCAAACTGAGTGCACAGGGTTGGGATGTCTGGGATTATGGTCTCAAGGATCTCTGATAAACTGATCTCTGAAGGGCTTGGGCAGAAACAGGATCTGCCTCAACCTCATTGGGATATGTGGGTAACACTCATGGCTCACCTGAGCACCTGCACAAGTATTTGTTCTGAGCAAAACCCAGAGCTTTAGCTGCACAGCCAATGCCAGGAACTGGAGTACGGACCTCGAAATGARATTCTGGACCTGGGCTGCTGCCATTTGCCCACACAGAACAAGATTTCAGAGGCCAAGACAAGCAAATTCCAGAGGGTGGGACAGCATCTACTCCTGAGACACAGAGTATGGGCCAGACTAATCCCACAAGTGCTGGAGAAACACATTAAACCAGGTCTGCCCAACCAGTTACTTTCACTGAGGGAGCAAAAATTCTTGCTTCCACATGAAAACACCCTGGGGAAAGATCAGCACCCTTGGGTGAAGGCCTTCAGGCCCATTAGTGCCACCAGAGGTTACAAGCAAACACCACAAGCCTTGCACAGTCCCAAAACGTCCATGATTRCCAACTCTCCCATCCTGCCACTGCTGCAGGGTCAAAGTGGCCCCAGAGCTGGGCTGAAAACCCAATCCATCACCAACACCAAGAGCAAGGGAAGAGCCTGGGGCAGGCTGGCATCTGGCAGGGGTGAGGGTGGAGGGTGCTCCAGCTGCCAGGATGCAGGAGATAAATGACCAACATCATMATCATTATCAGCGGTGCCCATCCTTTGCATTTAAAGGCGAGGAGGAAGAGCTTTGCCTGGCCCTGGAAGGGAGGRGAGAGATAGGGAGGGTCACACTGCTGTGATGGGGAGAGGTGACAGAATGAGACCATTGAGTGCCTGCAGGGGAGGAACAGCAGTGCTGGGGGCTGTAGGGCTGTCAGCCCCCTCCCTGAAAACCCCTCGCCTTGGGAGCTTTACCTCCAACATCTCCATCACCACTTCAGTCCCCAGAACGGTGCCAAGCAGGGGGCTTGCACCCAAATTAAAGCATGTAAAGGGGAGGCTAAGGCAATGTCCAGGGCCTCCTGGAGGGACTCTTTGATCTGTCAGACCAGCATGCTTAGAAGTGATTTAATTCTCACCAGGGTTAATTGAGATGAAACCCATTAGTCAGGAGGGACAGAAGCACACTTCCTGTCACCCCGGCCTCTCCCTCTGGCAAAGACAGGAGTATTAGGTCAATTAGYCCCTGGCAAACAATCAGGGTGGCTCCCTGTGCAGCATCCCCAGACAAGCCCAGGAGAGCAGCACTTCCTCAGAAATCAGCACTAATGAGTCACTAAGGCTAAATGACATTATTTGAAGCACAAAGCCAGTCCTGCAGTTATTGGCCTCATCTGCCTGAGGGAAACTGGTAAGAYACCTTAGCATGGGGGCAGGATCCCACAGCTTTCCAGAGCCTTCTCAGAAGTTTTCTAGCACCTTTCCAGAAGATTTCTGGACATTTCCTGGCCACTCCCTTGATGTTTTTCTAATCTTTCTGGAGGTTTCCTGTTCTATCTCCACAACATTCCTAGAGCTTTACTGGAACCCTSTTAGGGCTATATAAGTCTCTTCACATGTTTTTGACACTCACAGGTTGGTCATTTCCAAATTTTCCAAGGGGCATCCTGGCAATTGAGCAAAGCTCAGCACCTCATTCAAGCACCGTGACACCTCAAGTGGTCAAGAGSAGCACCTTCAGGAGCCTGATTAGTAAACAGAAGAATTACATAGAGATTAGGAACACAAGCTCTCAAAAGCACC